TTTTTCGATACTACAGGAACCTACTTCAGCTGATGGATGAACGTGAATTGAAAAAAAAAAGTTGGGCCAATTGTTTTCCATGTAAGATCCCCTCCACCTGTGAACTTGAAGTTCGCCTCCAATACATCACTCTCTCTTTCCAGGTGAGAACGTATTCTTTCACTATACTGTATAGTGAAAGTGAATGCTTTTGAGAATGCTGCTGAGTTGCAGTGTTGTATGTTAAAGGACATTATCCCCCAAAAATTGGGGGTGGTTTTCTAGATGTTTTCATCTCTGAGCTGTTTGGATACAAGTTCTATTTCTAAAGCCATAGTATTAGCTCCTGAGAAAGTTTAGACCGCAGCAGGTGAGATATTTGCATAAAAGTCTATTTTAGGTTTTGAATCAACTTAAGAAATACACAGGATCTGCGTGACATGTTGCCATCATACAAGTGGATAGTGATGCTTTTGTTGGGCAAAAGATACACCTTCTTGCCTATCAGTGTGGACAAATGATTTGATGCTGGTTCAATAAAATATATAATTTATAGCAACCAGATCCAAATCAGTCTCTCTCCCAAGAGCAGATGGGTAAGACCTTCATTTGGATATTATATATTTTCTGTAGTTTCATTGAAATATCCAGATATTGGGCCTAAGCAGTTAGAGTACTAAATTTGAGCCTTAAGTTTGCTGGGGGAAATCTTGTGTCTGCAATATCCAAAGCAATCCATTCAGTCCTAGGAAACAATCTTTCTGTTCCCTATTAAAAGGATCTCATTCACAGAGTTGGACAATTTTATTCATGTAACCTCCAGCTGCCAATGTTAAGCTGTCAAATTTCAGGAGAGCAATTAGTGGCAAAGATGGATAGTCATGTTAAGAACCTATCAACAAGACTGGCCCTGTTGCTATAATCTGAATTTTTTTACCCTATGAAGTATTTCCAAAGTTAACTCACTGAGGCTATGATCTGGATTTTTAAGTTTACAGTTAGAGCAATGATTAGACACGCTAGTGCTCTTCCATTTTGAAAGGAATTGTCTCAGAGGCGACCTTACCAAGGTGTATAATAAAATTTTACATGGGATTGAGAAAGTAATTGCAGGAAAATGCTTTAGATGAACTGAGACAGCACAGCAATAGTAGAAAGGCTTAGAATTCCAAGGTGAATTTCTGGACAGACACCAGGAAGTATATTTGGAAAGATAGCAGGGGCGAAGCATGCTGGATATTCAAATAGTGTCGAATTTTAAAAAAAAATCATCAGAATATTTCTTTTGAGCACATTAAGACAATTGCTTTTAAAATTCTTTAGCTCCTTTTTTCAAGGACTTTTCAGGGACTTTTGGAAGCGGGGGTGGGGGTCTTTGACTGTTGAAGTTATTTGAGGACCTGCTTCCAATGGATAGTTTACATTGAAACAAGTCCTTTTACAGCATCATCTGCACCCCTACACATTTTAAAAGCCACGGGAATCACTTTCTGTAGGCTAGATTAATCATAAATGCCTCAGTTGAATTTAGCCAGTTCTTGTTATGGCATACATTGGCTTTACGGTAAGGTTGATGCATATTTTGGGAAATCATCAAAGGGAACATTTTCCTGTGCACTGTTCGTGCTGAGTTCAGCAATAGATCCAGAGGCTCCATTGGAATTATTAATTCCTTGTGTGCGCTGTAAGGCTCCTTCAACAAGTTCAACATCCGACAGATCATTAACCGCGGATCTAACTTCTGTATGTGGCACTGTGTCGAAAGCTCGAGGAGCCTGCAGGAAATGTGCTGATTGCTCAACCACTGATTTGTAAAGAGGTTTAAAGTCGGGACCACTGGTATTGGAGACAACTTTGTTTCCAGAAATCTACTTTGAGTAAAATATTAAGCAGTTAGGTTTTTTTTTGCTCAAGCTGTCTTGTAGACAAAAGTTATGTCTGAGGGATGAACATGTCCCCCCTGGGTATTGCAAGTACAGACAGCTTATTTTTCCTTTGCCCTCCCCCACCAACTCTTTCTGGATAAAATACATCATTCCTAATCTGTGTACCAAACCAGGTGCTGCAATAAGATTACATTTTGTAATTCATGCAGCATCTTTGGCCCTGTATTGCGAAAACTTGGCTGAATTGGTGATGGTCGAAAGTTACACCTTTGCTATTCTAGCCAATAAATGAAATGTGTTTGCAAATACTTATGGAACATGGTGCTGGAATTACAGGCAACTTATGCGATACATGTAATTTGATCATAAAATGTACTTAGTTTATTAATTACCATTTATAAGAGTCTCCTGCACATTCGATGAAACATGTTAAAATCCACTTACTTTTTTTAAAATAACTTGTAATAAATAATGTACCCTAATTTAATCTTCATAAGCAAGTACTTTTGGAGTTATAGTAATGAACGAGTGTTGTATGTAATTTTTTTTTAAAAAATGCTTCTCTTCAGCACTTAATTGGTATTCTGCACATACCTTCAGACGATGTTCAGTTGAAAGAACAGCTCATGCCACCGTGTGGCAAATGTATGCTTCTGCAAGTAATGATAATACATTAGCAGATCTTCCAGAGTTCAGCACTGTTGTTAGGTCCAATGGCTCACAGTTAAGTAACTAAACATAACACAGATGGAAGTCTGGGATGGTTCAAATGTCTGTCTCTGCACCACTGCTGATAATGGCTTTGGATGAAAAGGTCAAATCATGCAAACATATCTGCTTTGATTAGGCCAGTCTGCAACCAGGCTTTAACTGTCTTGCTTTGCATTCCTTGCACAAAACAAACTGATGTAAATCTCAGCAGTTACTGTGTTCTTAAAGAAATGTGAATCTAAACTGACAGAAGTCAGAAAACCCCCCACGGTTGAGCTGAATTATTAGTTTGTGCTTTTGTTATTGGATGTGAAAATCCAGTTGTATTAAAGGGTCAATTCTCAGTGGCCATTTGTATATACAGATAAGTATTTTTACACACTTTTTTAAATGCAGCAGGTGATAGGCTGGAAGCACACATTGAGTACATTATAGGAAAGGGGACTTTATGGATTGTTTTGACAGACATCTGGAATGGACACTATTCTAGATTGTACTAAAGTGCACCTAAATCAGTAGTGGGGTAAAACGAAGGCTTGAAGTGTTTTTTCATCTTGTGTTTTAGACATCATGTGGATCATGTTGAGCTTTGGGAGCCAGATTTATGGACAGCAGAGGAGGTGTGAGTAATTCCATGGATTGGTGCAAGTGTGAAAGTAGATCCAACACATTTCAAAGCTAATTAACTTTCAGTTCAAGACTGGGTCAGCTAGGGTTGAAATCAATCAAATTTGATCTATCTGTCGCTTTGTTCGGCCCCTCTCGAACCTGTACACAGCTCAGAGGTATCAGTTTTATCTTCTATCATTTATTCAGATAAGTAATTGGCTCATGGGCATGCTTATTAAGTGAATATAATAAGGACGTCTTTTAGCCCTTTCATTGGTAGAAATCTCTTCGTAGTTCGAACAAAAGATTGGGCACCTTGAAGGAGCAATACTACTGTAGTGTGGAACACATTTCAAATTATATAAATGCATTAAACAACTGAACAAACTTAGCAGGAGAGCCACATGTGAGCCCCTCCAAAGAAAGGGCTCTGAGATGCTACCCTGTGTGGAGGGCCCTATATAAGTGCAAGTTGTTGTTGTTGTTGTCAATCAGTTCTGCTCAATGTTGGCTGACGCCGAGACAGACAGCCGAGACAAATGTCTGCCTGAATGAAGCTTGATATCAAATGAAGGATGCATGAACTTTAAGGAGGACAAAGTCATGCAATGCTGGTTCTATCTACTTTATGTTAAAAGGTGCAAATATTTGAATGTATAGCAGGCACTTTTCTTATGTAGAGGGTGGTGAGAATGTGGAAATTGCTACCGGAAGCTGTGGTCGAAGCTGAATGCGTCAGTGTATTTAACAGGAAACTTGTATACATATATGAAGGAGCAGAGAATAGAGAGGTATGAAGCAGAGGCTCATGTGGAGTGGTGCAGACTAGATGGGCTGAATGGCCTATTTCTGTGCTATAGTGTTGTAGAAGTAATTCTAAGAACGTGAAATTGAACTCAAATGTTTGCACCATTCAAAGTGAGCTGATAGTTCTCGCATTATTGAACTAACATAATATTTTCCCCGTTAATATGTATGGCGCTGTAACTCAAGCCTTTCAGCAATAAACTGGGGGCTATATTTAAATAGATTAGAAACGACTGGATTCAATAATCGCAATTTACGAGACCTAGATTAAATTCTGTATTGTCAGTTTAACACTAAACCTTGAGGTTTCCGCAATTAATCCTACACAGACATATTCGATGTTGCATTAAAGCAATTAGTACATCAAACATCTGATTATAAATGTTTGTTAATCGGGTTGAACAGTGATTTTTGCATTTTTTTTTCTGGATATTGTTGATTTCAGTGGTTTTAAACACTAGGTACTGGAATCCTTTTCCCCCCAAAAAACGTGTGCTCATTGTAAATTCAACATATGAGTGGAATTACAGCAGGATGCTGAATTTCTAAGTCTTCATTTTTGGGTTAGACTTCTGTTTTCAATTTTGCATTTGGGGTGAAATGGTTCACAATTTGATTACACTGTAAAATGTAACCCAAAAAATTAGTTTGAATAATTGGTCTTAACTTTAAGGTTTGTTATGCAGCTTTGTACCCTTACAAGGATTTGTTTGAACTATCATAGATACAAATGGACAGTTATACCTCAGGAGCTTATTGATCTCTTGGGGAATTGAAAGCTGCCCTCTAGCTTTTGGGAAACAGATGTTTTGTCAAATCAAAGGTGTACAAAATTGCAATCTTATCTCAATTTTGATAGTAAAAATCTGTAGCCGGAGGAACTGATAAGAAAATTGTCCTAGAAGTTTGTTTTCAAGTTGGAAATTAAATGAATCCCTGAGACTTGGACACAATTTGATTGAAATGGAAATTACGCAGCAGTTGAATGAAACCTCAAAAAGTTCCTGATTCCTGTATTTACCCATTGATCTTTATTTTGCAATACGTGGCACAGCAAAATTTCTAAGTGGTACACATAACAATCATGGCTTTACATCAATTGGGAGCAGTTATATCACCGCAATGATAAACTGCCCTAGTCTTTGGTCTATTGATTGTTTTATTGTTCACATTGAAACGGATAAAACAATTAAAACAAGTTGTGTAACATATAGATTTTCAGCCCAATAGGAAACCATTCAACCCATTCTGTACCCTATGAATATTGGAAACCAAAAAAGGATAACCGGAGCCATGAAGTGAATGGCCAGTTTGATCTGGGAGATTGTTATTTGGGACACCCTCTATCCCCCTCCTACTCATTCTCCCACTCATTGAATCTCTTTGGAATGCTTCAAAATGTTTTACATGAAAGGTGCTATTATAAGTTGCAAGATGTTGATTAGAAACGAAATATAAGCAAATATGTGGACCATCACTGTACAACAACAAGCTAATAATATCTGATTTTTTGGGGGGTGAATTTGTATGAAAGAATAAATTGGGGAAAATTCCCCATTTCTTTGAAATATTGGTGAGGCAGAGGCAACCCTTCCTGTTGCCAAAGGGTTATAAAATCTACATGTAGAAATGATATACATGTAGATTTTACTACCCTTTGGCCACAGGAAGGATATCCCTTACCAAAGGGTTGTAAAATCTACATGTACATCATTCAGCTTTGATGTACACCTGAATTATAAGGCTGATGGGATCTCTGTTTTACGACTCATTCTAAAAAGGGATGCTCTGGAATTTTTTTTAATATAATGGCTTATCACAGTGATGTCTCAAGCAACTAGAGCTCTAACAGAAAGAGCTCCTTTGAAGTACGGTGAAGTAGGTAAATGCAAAAGTCAATCTGCGCTGTAAAATAAGTATTGACTTTCTTCGACCAAGCCTTCCACCACCCTCCTACCCTCCTGACCCCCAGCTCGGGTCCAAATCTCTGACTGTCCAGCACCTTAGGATGTCCTTCCGACGTGAAAGGTGCTATACAAGTGCAATTTGTATTGTTTTTAAACTATTTCACTAGAAGGCACTCGGTTGAATTTCTTCTACCTGAAGAAATTTGGATCATTTCTTTTCATATTTGAAAGCGTTAAGATCATTTGCAGTTTTTATTGTGAGCTGAAATCTCAATTCAAATCGATCGGTTCTCTGTCAGAAGACCAAAGGACTGATGATTCTTCAGCAAACTATTTACTTTGTTGCTTTGATTATTCGTTTGAGGCAACGGAGCCGTGACATAACCTCATCCCAATCCACGTAAGCGCCTTCCAGGTGTCGGGTAGAATCCTTCGTAGTAGTGTAACTCCGACGTCCATGAAGCAACCTCCAGTTATCAAAGGTCATCACATCTCCTATGAACAAAAACACCACAGAACAATTGTCAGCCATCTCATTAGTTTGGTTAAATAATCCACTTTCAACAGGAAGGATATCCCTTGCCAAAGGGTTGTAAAATCTAGATCCGAGTCCGAACAATTAATATTGAATCATCAATTACTGTTGTTGGTCTTAATTCGCCCCAATTTTTTTTGAAATACCGTTATGGAGCTGAATGGTATTTGAAACCCAAGACAACCGTAAGTCAAATGAGAAGCGCTGCCCTACACAGAGATGTCTATCGTAAGATTGTTTCTTGGTCTGTAGTTCAATTTGGGGTGAAATTCCAGCTAATTGTTTCCTTCCTTCCCCCTCATTGAAATTGCAAAGCTGAAACGGACTATCCTGTAGGTAAATCAGCTTTGAATCATCTTAAAAAGTGCAATCATTCAGAAACTACTTCAAACCAGTGCAGATTGAGATGCTGGACTTTGATTGGAGATAGGGTTTCTGATAGTTTATGAAGTAACAACATTCACTGCTCCTCTCGCTACACAATGTACAAAATGTTAAACATGCATTATATGTAATTGCTGAATATTGCAGTAATAGTCTGATAAGAACTTCTGTTCTCTGGGTTGGCTCACCTGGTTCCATCTTGAAGGTAACCAAATTCTCTGGCTTATAAATCAGATCCCAGAATTTCTTCAGAGCAGAATAGAACGGGTGCACCTGCTCCACGGGAAGATCGAAGACTGAGTCCCGAATGGCACTGCTATAATGAATCCGAACAACATTTCCTTTATGATCCAACCTGTGCAAAAACAATAAAATATCTTTTTAGAAATAGAGCCTTTTATTTTAATGTTAAAGCCCGTTGTTGGATCTCGTCTTTATAGAGTGTTGCAGAATAAAACTGCCCTTTGCAAGCAATAATTTTGGTGATAGTACATCTGGTAATGTTCTTATGGCCTTAGAAGCTTAATGGATATGAATGAGCAGCTTTTGGAACTGAATGAGACTATTTCTGGTTGCGGGTTTAATCTGACATTACGTATCATGTACTGGACAACCTTCTGAGATGAGGTTTGTATCATATCCAAATCTACATTTTTTTTGGGTGCTTTTTTCCATTTACTAAGGCGAGACGTGTCTGAGTCGGAGATGAATATTTCCCCTCTCATTTTCTGTGCTGAGTTCAGGTGAAGTACAGCACGGGGCAAACAGTCAGCAAAGCTTCCTCTATTTGCCTCAGCAATTGGCTTTAAAGCCCAAATGTACAGCATCTCTCTCCCACCCCCCACCACCACCCCCCATTGCAATCATGTAATTGTTCCGTGTAAAATCTGAAATGAAACTGCATTTGTTGACCTACTGAGGCGAACATTGCAGTTATCATGAAAAAAGGATAGCTTCTTTAGCTGACACAAGTAATCACAATAAAAACAAATCATTAAACTATTATACCACCAGATGGCAGTAACACTGAATTTTGTGAAGTTGCTGGTACTTCGATATTAAGTAGATATTTATGCTGAATGACTTTCACGTTTTAAATTTGTATTGAATAAGTTAATAGATGCAATTGGAATACTTTTAATGAGATCTGACCTTTAAATAAATGCAATTAAGAGTATTTTATCTGAAGAAATGCGCCTTTGGGATATAGTCAGATTTATCTTATGGTTTCACAAGAGATCCATCCGTACATTTGGCCAATCAAAATGTGAAATTTGAATAGAGAGTAATGGGAGAGCAACTGATCAGGGCTGACCTTCCAACCTAATGAAGTCAGGCGTAGGCAGGTTAAAAAGGCTGCTGAAATGGTCTGAAAGGATGCTAATAATAATAATAATCCTTGCGTTTGATATTGCGCCTTGATATCGTGTCGCAAAGGTGCTTTTAACTTTTTTTAAAAAGTGACAAAAAATGAGTACATCTTCAGCAGAGGCTTCTCATTTTGCAAGAGTACTTGTGCATGATTTTAAAGAATACAGAATCCAAATACACTGCTGGAGGATATTTGGAAAGAAAAGCATGGAAGGGACCTTAGCTCGTAGGTCTGTGCCAAAGGGTCTAAAGATGTCCTTGGCGTATCGTATTTCTACTGACTCTTGCATACCAATGTGCAGTGATCTCCCAGCTTGGAGGAGGCTGAAGTAAAGGAAATCTTTGTTTCTTCCAACAAACCACCTTCGTGGGAGGGGTTGTAAGCCCCGGTTTCCAGCACAGAGGCTGACACTGATTACTTGACTATTTAAGAAGGAGGCATTTATCTTGAGTAAATTTTTTGAAGAGGCCTTCTTTGTTTTCAATGGAGTGGAGAAGAGAGGGGAACTACCAAGGCACAGTGTTCCCTGAGCCTTGGCGTGTGTTCCAGCAGATTATTATGATGTAGTCATCAGCACTGATGGTCTGTTGCCTCAGACACCATGCCTCAGCCAGAAACAATTGTGCTCTATTACCATGAGGACCTCAACTGGGAGAAGGGCCAAGAAATTGGGATTGGAAGATTTGAGTATTGGATAGCATTGGTGCATAACTTGAGAACTCATTGTTTTTAAATTGCTTTGCTAAGATAAACATTAATTTCATAGTGCATTAGGACTTTCAGTATTTATTCTGTAAGTATAAGTGGCCACTTGCAAAAAGACACTATTATGTCATCTGTTTGTTCTGCACCTACATTATTGTCTTGTTCTTGGATTGCACAGAGAAATCACAGTAATCAACCCCGCTATCTGTGAAATCAACCAGTGTTGAGGTAAGGATTCGGAAAGCCTCCGGGTACTGTTGTCTGAGTTGATTAGCAAGGTGGAATCCATCAGCGATTTCACTTTCACCTCCAACCTCTGCTTGTTTGATGCAGTGGAGAAACTGTATCTGCGACAAAAAAAGTAAATGTTCACGTATAAAATATATTATCTTTAAATTAATATATCTTTCCATGGTGTCTGTGAAAGCTTCGGGTTTTAAAATAACAATCAAACCTTTGCCAAGGCTTGAACAATTTTCAAGGGTGGAGCTGCCCAAATAGCTTATTGGAGGCTTACAGCAGTGCATTGGAAACAAATCCATTCAGTCGATTTTTGCCTCACTCTTATGAGCCCCAAACCATTGGGTTGGACAGAGCGCAGAATCGTTAATTACACATATTAAAGTGTTAGGAATTCACAAAGCAAAATACATTATGTTTAGAACGCTCAGTACATTCATTTACTGAATACTGTGTCCAGTTGTCGTCATTGTACCGAGAAAAATATTCAGAGAGCGGAAAATTATTCTGAGAAAGGCAATGAAAATTATTTCAGATTTTTTTTAATTGAGCTATAAAGAGAGGTAATAATTGTTTTTTTATCCCTCCAGAGGTTGGAAGGATACATTTTCTTAAATGTACTAAACTGATCGAGTTGGTTGTACTTTAGGGTAGGGTTGCTACAGCTGTTGAACCTAATGCAGTGCTACCAATGACTGCAGCAAATACTAACCCAGTTCAAGCATTAAAATGGGAATTGGAAAAGATCCTAATTCATCAGTGTGTGGAAGCTTAAATGTCTACAGGTGCTTGTAAGTGATATTTTTGAGTCATTGGTGCTTCACACGTAAGGAAACACAGTGTTTACAACAATAGCTTGGATTTATATAGCGCCCTTTATGCAGGGCAGGGTCTCGGAGTGCTTAACATTGGCGGACCTTGAGCCATGGGGTGTGGGGAGGGGGAGGAGGTGATCGTAAGCATGGTCAAAGTGGAAGGTCGCAATTATCATTCGTGCTCTCAGTTTCTCAGTTGAAAATTCTAATGGGAAATGAATCCATTTCTATTTCAGCAGTGAGGATTGTGCCATCTGTGACATTTAAGGCTTATTCACTGGTATGTGAGTAATGATGTGCGGTTATTGTTCAATTGTCGGAATGCTTTTTTCTTTTGCCCTTTTCAATGGTAATTTACCCAAAACAGCTTTTAAGTCTTAAAATGAAAACCTGTTTTCAATTATTTTTTTCAAACTTTAGCTACCTGAAACTGGCATAGCAGTGCACACGATATCATCTTCCAGGGATATTGATAGAACAGGAAACCAAACTCCTCAGCAATGAGATGTGGAGGAAGTGAGACCACAGAAATAAACTAAAGTCAGAGCCAGTAGATTCATAGAATTCTACAGTGCAGAAGGAGGCCATTTGGCCTATCATGTCTGAGTCGGGTCTTTGAAAGAGTTATCCAATCAGTTCCACTCCCCAGCTCTTTCCCCATAGCCTTGCAAATATTTTTTTTCAAGTAAATATCCAATTCCCTCTTGAAAGTTATTATTGAATCTGCGTCCATCACCTTTTCAGGCAAGGCAGTACATTCCAGATAATAACAACTTGCTGCCTAATTTTTTTTGCCTCATCTCCTCTCTGGTTCTTTTGTCAACTGCTTAGAAGAAGCGGAGAAGCAGAGGAATGGACACCTTAGGAGAATCTCATACTCCGAGATCTCTAAGACAGGAACGATGACAGACTTTCTTCTGTTTGTTTGTGTTCCTGGAGAGAGTTGTTTCATGAGATGGGTGATTCCAGCCATAATTCTTTGACCACTATAATCACTGTTTCTTTTAGTTTCAGGTAAGGGGAATGTCCACCACAAACACAATCTTCACCATCTCAACTATAACATGACCGTTCTCATTCTCATCGCCATTCTCTAAGGCAGCACATGCATCCTTCAGTCCAATAGTGACAAAGCATTCAACTGGCAAGGGACTCGTGGACTCTTTTTGTCCTAATATTCAGCAGAATGTAATGGAGACCTATAATAATCCTTGCATTTGATATAGCGCCTTATCATGTTTTTGAGACGTCTCAAAGCGCTTCACAAAATATACTGTAAAGTGAATTGACTGCATATTTGGTGGGCGATGGAGTTTAATGTAGACATTAAACTCCAAGGACAAAGGAGACATAAACTAGATATGCTTTGCAGAATAACGAGGTACAAGACGCTTTAGTTGGATTGGACACTGTATTATAATCTTTGTTTGACGTCTCACATTCTGTAGCAGTGGCTTGGCTAAACTTTCAATCCAAGAATAGAAACCCATATGTTCTTCTGTAAGGCAGAGGGAAACTATTCTAATAACCCATAGTCTAATGCATCAATCAACTGCCCTGTGCCATCAATCTGCCTTAGCCTCACTTTCTTCACTAGCCATTTTATTGCTCGTAAGAGACCAACAACAACTGAAAGAAACACCCCAACCTTGTGGTATAGAAATAATGATTCAAAACTGTATGGTTCGAACTCAGACCTACCTCAAATCCCACTTGTATCTATAAACATTAATTCGCTCAATTCATTGGAATGTTCCTGCTAAGGATTGCTTCTCGTATATTCTCCTACATGTCACAGTTGCTAACTAAGTATACTTTGTGCGCCCATAACTATTATTGCCCCAGGTTACTGTGTTCCAGTGAAATATTGGACTCCTTTGGGGGGAAGGAAATCATATAATTCTTTCACATTGAGATAGTTTACTTGTACATCTTGACTTTAACAATGCATAAACAGGACTATGGGAAAAGCAGGTTTGAACATTATACAGGGGTGTAGCAGGAAGCGAAGCTTACAACCCTTTCAGAAAGTGCGTAGGCCCTCATAAACACAATGGAGGTCTTAAGCTATTGGTCTCCCAGTGTCATAATCATAGTCAACGCCTTTGATCAACTAGAAAATCAAAACACTGGCATAATTACATCACTTCTCAATTTGAATTGTAATCCAAATGATTTTTTTTTTAAAAAACTGGAAAGTGCTTAAGACCATGAGGTAAATACTTTCTTTTCATCGGGGAGCTGGCTGAACAAAGTCACAATCTGTCTTTCATTAAACCACAAAGAGGTTTTCCTGATGTTCTGCTGCGTGGAAACGCATTGTCCTTATATACGTCTGAATTCCCCATTCATCATTTCTGTGACTCTGAACCAAAGACAAGCTCATGAGTAATAAACAGCTTTATTCAATTCCTTAAAAAAAAATTCTAACCCGCTCTGTTTTTATTATAAACCTTACCAAGTGGTGCAATGCAGTTTGAAGAATGCAGACGTTATTGGGGTTTTTTAAGGAGAATTTTTTTTTTTTGCTATTCATCCATTGTACACATCCAGTACATACTGTCTACATAGTGTTGCCAGCAGAAACCTAAACATGTACCACACTATTCGGTAACACAGGTGAACTGAGAATGGATGGTTTCATTCAACAGAAGACTGGAGTTCGATGTGGAACAAGGTTTGCATTAGTCATTTATTTAGAGTTTAGACATTGAGGGGAGCTTGGTAAACTAAGGAATGCCTCTATAGATGCACAAGGACAGTATACAGTTGCAGGAAAAAAAAGCTTGTCAGGAAACTAAAGTTGTTTTTTTTTGCATACTTTTACAAATGTAAACAAGATTTTAAAAAATTTATAAAACTCCATTTTATGACCTGTTAAGTTTCCCCGACTGCCATAACTTGCTGCCAGGCTTCCTCCTTCAGCTGGGAAAATGAGACAGTCTAGGCCACAGAATTCCTGATGGCAGACGTCATTGGCACTGTACCGTCACAGCTGAAAGGCAAGAGGTCTGTGGAGCGTACGGTTCTTGCTACTGCTTGCTCATTCCAGCAAAGGTGACGTGAGCTGGTCCAAAATCTTTCAAAATGATCTGTGACAGAGAAGCAGACTAACAATATCTAACAGGAGTGGTATATTTTCTCAGCTTGTGCAATGCATGGAGTGATCTGCTACTGTGGAGCATTTGGGCTTCGAAGTTTCAGGAGAATTGAAATTTGGGCATTGAATAAATCAAATTTGGTCACAGAAGTCTCTCCTGACTGTCAGTATGCTTGTGAGACTAGGAGTTTTTTTTCCCCCAACCCTTTAGAGTAAAGCTATTGAGCAGGATTCAAACTTTGACCTTCTAATTTGGTGGATTTCACACCACTGCCATTTGAAATGGTAGGGCGTTGTGACGAATGACTGATTTAATTTTAAGTGCTCCGTCTAAGTAGTCAGCAAATAAAGCGTTCTTCTGACAGAGATTAATTTTTCATTTCTGTTTTGCTCTCAAAAGTATTACGCGATTAGGCTTGAACACGAGGAAGGTGTTGTTTTATCAAGCATAATGCTGGGCGGAACCAAATGGTGAAGTAATGGAAAAAGTTGGAATTTTTGTCAATCTTTTTTTTACGCAAGCGCTAAATGCTGGAAAGTATTTTTTTTACTAAACCGATTTTGTTGCACAATGTCTTTGATCTAGAACCACTTCCTTGTCATCTTGCATAACTGGGATACAGAATTTATCGCACATAAGTGAGAGCACAATGCACTGGGGCATTGCCTTCCTGTGAGCCCACAGCTGTGAATTACTCTCACATTTCATAAGTGCTGGATGTACCCTGGCACCCCTCTCTCTCACTATGACTGCACCTTGGTGTACTGAAATGTCCCCTGTAGAAAATCCCAAAAAAGTATAACAAACAACTATGGGATCATCATCAAAGTCCACTTGGCATGTATGATGTATGTATGTCTGGTCTACACATGTTCAAGGGTCTAAATCGTTTTATGAGCTAAGACGCTATTGTTTTTATGAATTTAAAATAGAAGCTGGAGAAGCAGCCAACTGTCCAATTTGGACTGGACAGCAGTATTTTTTTGATGGCTTCCCTCGCCCCCGAGTCAATGCTAGAGCTGTTTGTTTCCCTTGCCAGACTTCTGTTGACCTTCACTGAAGCTGCGGTCATTTCCTTTTCCAGGCCTGCAACCTTCTCTTTGCTTCTCTTCCATACAAACTTCATAGACACAAAATATTTCAGAATTCATCCTCTTCCATTGATTATGCACCTGTGATGCAGCGGCAATCAACAACTCACTGGCATTTTGTGTTTCAATATAGGTTAACGTGAAGACTTGGTTTTGGAAGGTGTAGGACTCTTCTACTCAAACATTAATCATCCATGCTTTACACGCACCAGATGTTGCTGGGCTTTGCAATGAAAGCTTTAATAACAAGGAAACAGATGTTGTGGAAAATCCTTTATCAAAGAAAATATCAAAATGATTAGCAATCCGATTCTGTTTGAATCAAAGCCTTACATTATGTTTAACTTTTAGAATGCTTGTTGCATTTTTTTAATTAAATAATTAATCTAATTAATAAATACACTCTCTGGCGGGAACATGTCTCATTGCAGAAGAATAGAGCTTATTGCAATTGTGCTTGTGCTATGCATCCAAATGTTGCAGAGATTTCAACATCTAACTCAAAGGGAATTGTGCAAAAATTGAATTTTCTGCAAAGAAGGATATCTTTCAGCCCATCATGTCTGTTCCACTGTCGTATGTTTTTCTAAATTGCTTCTTTTTAAAAAAAATCTTACTTCCCATCTCTCTCGCTCTATTGTTTAATTTTTTTTCTGCTTTAGTGATGATCCAGCTTCCTTTTGAACTAACTAAGCACCTGACACCTGCCTTAATGTTGTGGGATGCCATTTTTTTTCAGCTTGTGGTGAGGAAACTCACATCCTATTGTAGCTGTTTGCTCTTGGCATCAACTCAAAAGAATACACACTGATCCATAGTTCACCTGATAGGTTGCTGGATGCACTGCAAACTAATCATAGAGGCAGCCAGTTGTTTGTACACACCACTGTAGCATTCTTTATAGCAGAGGCTTTGTATGATAATATCCAATGTTCCCCTGAAAATGCAAATTCCCTGACCCACTTCCTCAACCTTTTGACTGTTGTGATGACTTTTTGAAGTAAGGACGTTCAATTTTGTGAAGGAGAGCTCTTAGCATCAACTCAAAGAATACATTGAGTTGACAACACCCTCAAAAGACCTTCAGATCGGGAGGGGGATGGGGGGATGTGAACAAAGCCCAGATAACTTGCTTTATCAGAAAATACTACATTATATCTATCTGAAGGTGTCAAAATAATTTACCGTTGGAGAGAATAGTTGCCTCTCCCCCGTTTGCAACAATTGTGAAAAAGTAGCACAAAGGACGTTGAGACTTGCATACAATGGTACAAATGTGCTGAGTGTGGCTCATTGCAAATGGGTAGGTAACCACCAGAATGAAGGTGTTGAATTCCGATGGTAGCATTATAATTATGGTTGTATGCAATTGCTAAATTGAATGCTTTCCTAGAAATACAATGCTGTAAAGACACTTTCAAAAGTGGCAAAAATAATCTTTCAAATGCGTAGATGTAAAACTTGTAGATAGCTGTGTGGTGCTCCACCTTATTGCTGTAGTTGTATATATTTTGAAGAACTGAGAAGCAAAGCAGACTTATGGCTTTTGTTTCCAGAAGCTGGAACAAAGGTGATCAAAACCATGCACACTTATAAAAGGGGCCCCTCAGCTGTAATTAGAAAGTTGGAAAATTCCAGTAAATTCTGTATCTTTAATAGTAAATTATGATGGTCATAAAGCTATGAGTAACTATTTTTAGTATAAACTGTAAGCTTTAAAGATGACTTAAATTGTGATAGCATCTCAGGACCAGATTAAACTCCTAAATATATGGGAATGCTAATGCTTTGTCAAAATTTCCTTGATATGATTAAGGTTATATTTCAGAGGCTCGTGTTTACTCTCCAATTTTCAGAAATGTGTATGTTTATAAGCGATATATATCGCAATACATTTCTTAGATTTTATGAATAATAAAGACTGGTGGATTAAAACCAAGTTTATATAGCAGGAACAATCTTCTGGTAATGCAGCTTATCTTAACTCCAAACAAGAAAATACATGCATTATTAGTCCATATTGTATCTTTTTTGCTTCCCATACAAATTTGTGTTAGAGTATAGTTGCACCTGGAATCCAGCGGCCCAGACATTACAAAACTCCTAATGTGCTTTTTGGCTAAATCCCAAATAGTGTATAAAATGTACTGTACTAAACAGAATGGATGATTGAAACAAAAACAGGCTGGAAATTGACATCAGATCAATCGGCATCTGAAAGGGAAATCTAGGCTAATGGTGAAGAGTTATGCCTGGAACACTCTTTCTCCCCCTCTTCCCCCCTCCCCACCTTCTCCGTGCTGACTGACCTGCTGAGAATTAACAGCTTTTCGGTTTGATTTCACACTTACAATTTTTTCCTACGTATGGACAACTGGTTGGGATTTCATTTCAGCATTCCAAAACTTCAGGAATTGATAAAAGTTAGAAGGCAAGTCTGTAAAAATTCAAGACTGGCGTGTGAGCTTCGAAAGACCGCAAGCATTTATCTCAATCGGTTCCCCAGAGATCTGATGTGCCCCACTGCATTATCAACAATCAGACAAATACTTGACATTAGACCCCAGTTAGGATGATAGTCTTCTTCCTTTGCTCTCTCTCTCTTTCTTCCCCTATTCATTTCCCTCCCTAGTTGACAACAGGATTAATCACTGGACCACATGGTAACATGCCCAAGTCTGACTGTCGGAGATCAGATACATATTCCTCTCTCACCACAACAGTATTCGTTCATCAAACAAAAGACTTAAACAGTGAAGAGTAAAGTAACCTGCCTGTATTGCTATGGCAACAAGCCTTTACCAGTGTACTAAAAGTGCAATCCACCAGATTCTCTCATCAAATTGCAAATAAGCTTTGAGCGCAGCTAGTGGTTGGTGAAATACAACCAGCTGGAATTGTGTCCAGGTGCCAGCAATTATAACTGAGTGTGCATGATTTGAGGAATGATGCGAGGGATTTCAAGCAGACAGTGTTTTGTGGAAAGGAGAACTCAGTGTACCGCAATAAGTGAGGGATTATACCAGAATCTTTTGTTTGAAAACCCTAGCGCCCACTAAGGCAGTCTTCGGATCACGCGGGAAGGTACCTATGTACCAGTTACAATTTAAGATGATAAAGTAATTGAGGGACTCGATTAAATACCTTGAATTTCTCCTGTTAGTACTATATTAGACGATTATCACAAGAATGGCAAAATAAATTAATTTTTTTATATACACTTAAAATTCTCAAAGGTTTTCTCGTCTTCCGTGATGGGAACTCTGAAACATTTTGGCTCATAAACCCAAACCTTCATTACGTATAGTGCAAGGACTTTTCATCAGAATGCCTCTCTCATTCCAAGAATTAGTCAACAAGTTGCAGATCATTTCCATTTCATGCATCTTGAAAGAAATTTATTCAAATTAACTTTCCATCTGGATATAATCCTGTGTCCCCAGCGGTGGAAGGCACCATTACATCACTTTCTCAATCTATTACAGTGAAATACCCTAACCTCTGATCCCTGCTATACTTGCCTTGGTGTACAACATTCTGCTATTCAGCAGTGAGAATACCAGCCTGTCCCTGTACTCCTGTAACAGCAACTGCTTTCCTCTCTCTTCCAACGTGATTGGAAACATTCACAGGACTACTTAGCATCTCTCTCGTGTGTTGCAAATACTCAATTTTACTTTATTTCTTTCTAAACCTTTTTGGGAATGATAGACTGAAGGGGATCGAACTTCTGGAGAATACAGACAAGCTGGCTAATGCTGTGTAAGCATTCACAGACAAATGTTTTCATTAAAAAACAAGAACAAGCTGGCTTTTAACCTGCCTGCCATGTATTGCTGTCTGCTACAGTTATTTTATTTTTTTCTCATTAACAATTTTTACAAGGTAATTTCAATGGAAGGATATCAGGCAACAGCAAAGGTTCTTACCCCCGGGGGATTGTGCAGTGATGGGTAGTCTGTGTGCAGGCTCAGATTCCCAGATGTGTAGGCCAAATTGTTGGCATTAATCTTATCCTCCACTTGCCAGGTATACCTTTTTTTCAAAATAAAAAAGCACATAAAATAAAGTTAGCCTGCAATATGTTCTTTCTATCTTCACCCTCTGAGATTTGGTGTTACTCAATTGAGTCCAAAACAGAAAGACGACAGCATTTCTGTCTCTTTCTTCTCTTTAAACTATTTCCTTCTTGTGTTGGTGCAATCATTTGTGTTGTACAAGATGCAAAGCAAATACATCATGTTAAAAATGTCAAGAAATGTTATACAAACATTTTGGACACGTTTACACCAATTGCATAGAAACTGTTTGAGAACTTCAATAGGGAATCAATTTTTAATTTTCTTATTGTTTTGTAATTTTTCAAAACTGTTGCAGTAATTAAGCTTTCTTCTTGAGAGAGTTCTTTTAACAATTTCTATCTCTGAAATATTTGTATACTTTTTGAGGCTTTTTTGAAGTTAATATTTCTAAACTTTACATTTTCCGTTTGTCTCTTTAACCTTTTCATTTGGTCAGGGTATTCATCCAAAGGAACACAATCTGGCAGTATATATTGTTAGGTAGGGTCAAAGGATGGCATGACATAACTGCAGTCATAAATCTCTGAATGTCAGCATTGCACAGTTCAGTTGATACGTCTTTCAACATGAGAATCAAGTTGATCCTATGTTGAGCCACCTTCAGTTTAAATTTTTACATTACATTTATAGAGCGCCTTTCACCTCGGGAGGGCGTCCGAAGGCGCTGGACAGTCAGGAGTCAGGACCCAAGCATGGAGCCTGGTGCGCGAGAGTACACGAGCTGCAGAGTTTTGGATGATTTGCAGCTTGTGAAGGGAACAGTTGGGAAGGCCGATGAGGAGGGAGTTTCCATAATCGAGCCTTGAGGTGACGAATGCGTGGGTGAGGGCTTCCGCAGCCTGAGGGATGAGGCAGTGGCGGAGTCTGGCAATGTTGCGGAGGTGGCGGTAGGCAGTGCCAGTCATGGCGCGGATGTGGGGGAGAAAGGACAGTTTAGGTCAAACAAGACACCCAGGTTCCTGACTGGCTTAGTGAGGTTGAGAATGCAGCTGTGGAGACTGATGCTGCCAGCGCCCGAGGCGCGGAGTTGCTGGCGCGAGCCAATCAGGAGGGCCTCGAGCTATAATGCGATTGACTGTGCAGCATTAAAGATCAGAGACCACAAAACTAAACTTGGCTGACATTGGTATTCCAACAACCAGAAGGCACAGTTGCTATAATTTAGATAATGTAAGAAAGTTTGTTTGTTCCATCAATATTTATCATCATTCACAGAGACTTCCCTTGTGGATTCCTGGAACATGAGTCTGTGAGGCATGTGTTGCAAACAGTCGAGCAGTTTTTTCTTCTTGTAGGAATCAGAGAGTTAAGCAATATAAAATGGGAAGACAAACCACAGTCCAATAAACGGCAATATAATTACTTTTTTTCTTATTTCAATACTTCTTGCTGGCGGAATAGCAAAAATTCACAAAAGTATTCATCTAAAAAGAGTTTTTTTTCAAATTAAATTGAATTATGATTCTTCAAGCAACATGTAGTGCATTTTGTATAATGACCCTTTCTGTTCAAGTTTGTATTACTAATGATACTCAGACTTGATGTAGCAGGAATGACCACTGCTCACCATGACATAAAGGGGCCACTCAGATTCCTAAGGTAGCTGAGCGATGAACAACTGTGTTGCTTAGCAGTGATTGACGGATGAGGTGCCAATAATAATAATAATAAAATTAATAAACCAATGCATAGCACTTTTCATACTGGGAGGATTTTTCAAAGTGCTTCAAAGGATTTACTATAAAGTGTAGGGACTGTATTTTGTAGATGATGAGGACTGAATGAATAATGTTGGGCTTTTAGCCTTGAAAATAAATGTATGATGTTAAATAAATTGTAGAAAGTAGACGTAAAACAATACTTTCATGTACAGTAAAGTTTTTGAAAACTCATTGCGTGTACTGATGCACAGGGTGGGGGAGGAGGCAAGAAACCAAGGTGGCTATTTATTTTAGTTCTACTTTGTTATTCTTTATGAAGCATAATGTCTGTCTAAAAGGCACTTTTGCTTCATTAAGCATGCTAAATGGTTCTTTCAGTAGTCATTGCAGCTGTGATACAGTATGGTGTATGTATAATGCAATGTCACCACATCTGCTGCACATTTCGAAACTAGACTGCTGCTTTATGCTGCAAAGATTAAGCTCCCAGTTGGTCATTAGTACCCACTTGTAGCAGTTTTATATCGATGGATTGAGTTTTGCACATCTCCCGACCACAGTTTTGTGAACTTTGGGTTTGGCTGCCTATTGCTCTCCAATTTGAATTGCCTCATTCAATGAATTGTACATTTCACAATATGTCTAAGTAGTTTAAAAAAATCATAAGCTACTGTTTTGTCTCCTTTTTCCTTGTAAGCAAGAGAGTAACCATCAACGTTACTTTATTACAAAGAATTTCTAATAAGGTATTTTCAAAAGGCAGGTTTGGTCAGGTCTCAGAACTTAGGTGAACCAAATGAGAAGCACCAACAAAGGGGGGGAAACAATTAGCAATGCAAGAGACCACTCCCAAATACTCTACTTTCTGCTCTTCAGCTCTGCTGCCATCCTGATTTAATGCCTACTCCTCAAGGTTCTCTTCCACTGTGAGGCTCATATTGATAGTACAGAAGAAGTCCATAGTCTTTTCTGTTCCCTCAAGAGCAATCCTTTCACCTGCCCTTTCTCATTCACCAGCACTTTCCCTACACCCCTATACTGAAGCTGTAGACTTGCCACGTAACAATAAAACTATTAATAATAAATAATCCTTGCATTTGGTATAGCACCTTTTATGTTGGGCGTAACTGTCAAAGAGCTTCCCAGATTTATTGTTAAGTGTAGTATTGTATTGACTGTATTTTGAAGGCGAACGTGGTAGCCAATTTGCACATTATGTTGATTAAACGCCATAATCATTATGTAAAGTTGGCAAATCAACTGATACATAATGATGACTATGTTGGGTTGTCTATTAGGATCTCTCACTTTATATATAATATATAACATCTATGCTAAAGAGCATAATCTCTGAGAGCCACCGCAGACTCGATGGACCGAATGCCTCCTTCTACACCTTAAATTTTTGTGAATTTATCAATTTCTATTTACTCAGTCAATATTGTATTTGGCATATATGATGAATTTTACAAGTAGCAATGGCTCATTTACTATCAAATGTGGGCTTCTATAAAAGCACAATACGGCTCAATTTCTATGTCCCAATCTGGAAAGAATGCATTTTTGTGCCAATTTCTTTTGGATTTTTTAAAGTAAAGACAAACAGGATTATTTTTGCTACCCACACTATAATTTTTTCAATTGAGGTGCCACAGAAATTACAAAATATGCTTACAAAAAATCATATCCTACAGAAAAATAGCGATAAAAGTTCTCTGGGAGACCCAGACATATTGGCTGAGGAATCTGGAAAAGATCATGCAAAAACATTTTTTTTTCAAATTTAGTAAATCCAGTCAAGGGGAGTATGGGGGGAGTGGGGCGAAGCGTTCCAATTGACCTGATAAAAAAGACTCGTTGAATCTATTCTAAATTGTAAAAAAAAAGGTTGCACTGCCAAATTCCAAATCTCCAGAGGAAAAGACTGCTATAAAGTATACATCCTAGCCAGACAGCTTTAATATAAAAAGGGAGTCTTATTTTCTGAAAAGCTAAAAGAGTTATGATTTAATTTTAATACTTTTATGCCTGTTTCCATTGCACTGTTTTACAGTTTTTTTTAAAATAAGCGTTGATTAAATTGTCAGAGAAACAAAGAAGTCAAGTCCCTGGCTGTACTGAAAGAGCTGAATCAACATTTATTGTATTCTTCTGTATTCATGGTAGATTTATACTATTATTTTATTAGTGTGTTATACTATTTGCTGCATACCACTTTCAAAATTGGGTTAAAAACACAAGCAAGACTTTCTGTATATGGGTCTTTGATTTTTAACCATATTAAAAGAGTTGGTCACGGTCTGCTCTTGGATAATGTCAAAAATACTCTCAAGGTTTCAAGGCAGTCTGTCCCTTGAAACCCAAACCTTTGCACAGAACAGTGGTGGTAAAGCAAAGCATGTTCTTTCCCTTTTGGTGGAATACGCGCTATGTTAGCTTCAGCTAGGTTCGAGATTTTTTTGAGAAGGAGTCGTCTCAAATTTACAGCGAGAAACCTTGATCAGTAGGTATGCACCTGAGCCGATCACCGCTGATTAAAGTTCATTGCGGAAAAATGCAACGTACTGCACACGGGAAGTAAATTCATTCCTTATAAATCTTGTATATTGGCCAATATGGTGTTTTTTTTTATTCAGGCTTTGTTGGTTCTAGGAAACGCCCTGTTCCAACTCCATCAATCGAGATTAAAACTGGAGGTGGTGGGGGTGGAAAGGACAAAAGAGCAAGTCAAATTTTCTTTTCACTTAGAATTTAGATTGAAGTATTTGTTCTTTGAATTCATGCTGTAGATGTTTAAATAGCTTTTACTGACTGTAATGCTACATTTTCAATGCCACTGTGCGTGTGCGCGTGTGTGTGCGTGAGCGTGTGTGTGTGTGGAAAATTTAAGAAACCAGCTGGCTCCCATGGAAATTATTATTTTCCAGGACCTTCCAATAGCCTAAGGTTTTAATAAAAGCACAGAGATTCATGTCATATAATGTAAATGTATATAGCACTCTCTCATGCTCTATTAGCCACAGATACTAGTACCAGTGAGTCTGGCAAACAGTGATAAGCTGTGAGTATGCAGGAAAAGACCAACTTTTTTGTAACTGATGCTGGCATACTCTATAGAATCATAGTAAGAAGCGATATATCAGTGCTGGTTCTTTCAATGAAGCTAACTACTTTTATCTCAATTCACTATATGTTCAATGCAGCACTAACATTTTCTCATTTTAAAATATTTCCATGTCTTAAAAGGTACCCTGTGTTTAACCTGGCAACAATGTTGGCCAAGAAGCCACAAGAGCTCTATCGTTTCATTCCTATGTAAACAATGGTTAACGTATGAAGCAGTCTTGCAAATAAATGTATTTTTACTGATGGCAATTTTATACTGCCCTACTGATGGGTTTACACAGTAATATAAGAATCAGAAGATATCTGATTGTCACCATATTCATCCAGTATAACCTAACAATACACATCTTTATTAGGACAGCCTCTGATATACTCAAACTTGTTTTTATTTGATCAATACTACAATGTTTCATAGTTCATGCATCTCTGATTCGGTTCACTGCCATTTAATTTTTGAAGTATATTAATCACTTCTGAATTATTTCTGTACATATATTTTACATATATAGCTGCCAGATACATATTTTGAGTTTGTCTTTCTCCTATTTTTTTAAAAAAAGTTTCTTTTGACTAAGTGGAATCCAAGCAACTTTGCAATGACCCTTTAAACCTAGCAATTCAGATGGAATGGTGAAGGAGGATAAGGAATTTTGAAAATAACATGTCTATAAACTGAGATATTCTACCATCTGGAAGATGTCAGCTCATATAATTCATTCTCAGACCTTAAGAATGCCACAAAGATGAATTTCACTTATAGCATCTGTTCACTAGGAGACATTAGTATTTTTTGTATGTCTGCAAGTATTATACGTTCAAGAAATAAGACCTATATTACTCATTACAGAGATCATTTCTAACATTTTCTGTTGAGCTTCATCGGCTCAAATTAATTTGTCTTTGCAATGGACCTCTCCCAACAATTCTCAAACTTAAACTGGCTGTGAACACTGGTTCCAACAAGTCTCACAATCAGTGGTCATCTGGGAGAATGCAGGAAAAATGTAATGTTCTTTCATTACTGATGAAGTATAAATACTCTTTAGGGTGCCATATATTCAATGTAGCACTAACTTGTATGGAGTGACAGAATGTGTCATCACTCATACAGCTTTGCCTTGGCAGCGCCACTGTGATTGAAACCATAGTGAAGGGGAATTCAATCAGAGTGTCGCTACCAACGCAAATATATGATCCTTACAAACAACAAACCCCTCTTCCCCTTCCCAAAACTAGTTGGGAGTGGGACTAATTTACAGGTTATATGCCCATGTTATCCACCCAGAACATAGCTGACAAAATGGTGTTTCAGCCCAGACTATGAACTCAAGTCCAGACATAAGAATGAACCCACAATCTTCTGATTCCGAGGCAAGGATACTACCAGATGAGCTAGGCTGACGCCTTTGATGCTAAATCATGGCTTAGGTATTAGGCAACATTTCTGTCAAATTAACCCCCGAGTGATTCTCTACTTGGTGAGATTCCAATTACTGATTGTGGCATTAGTCCAGGCAGTTCTGCCGAGACAGGGAGAAAATAGAGCAAGTAACCAGAGTACCATTCTCATGTACCTTCTATCAAGATTATAAGTAGTAATAGCTGAGGTTTCAGAATTCACTTACCCTGGTTAGTTGATGCGAGGCTGAGCACAGTAATATAAAATAATGGTATCCATGATCACTATTGAGCAATATAAACCCAATTATTTTTCGTTTCCACCAAAAAATATTGGGACTACTTGACTGCAGTCTGATTTCTTGAAAATAACTTTTAGAAAATATGCTGCAGATGTTAAATGGTTTATTCGTATATTTATTTATATATATATATTCTATGCTATATTCTATGTGGTGGAATACACCCAAGTTATAACTATACTAGTAGAATTACTTAGTAGAATTAAATGGATTATAAACCATTTTTCCTGCGTTATTAATTAATGTATCTTGTCTTACTGAAGAATGAATCCAAAGAAAAATAGCCTGTTGCTTACTACAACAACAACTTGTATTTCTATAGCACCTTTCACGCTGGATAGTGACACTAAGCACTTAACAGCCTGACGCCGAGCTGGGAGGAGGTGAGCGCAAACACAGTTGAAGAGGAAGTCTTCAGGCATATTCTGAAAAAAGAGGAAGAAGGGGGCAAGGCAGAGGGATTGAGGTCGAGAGTTCCAATTTGGGGGCACAGTGGCTGAAAGCACGAGACTATGAGTTCAAGTACCGAAGAGGAGCTTGATCCCTCAACAAAAAAAATTTGCATTTAGTTTTCAGTTAATTTGCATTAACTTGCATTCCAAGTTAAAAAGGTGGGCTGACTCCAAAAGCTGGATTTTTTAAAAAAACGTTTAAAATTTGAAAGAACATATAGATTTACCATTTCATCCAGTGTAAATAAAAGACAGGGTAACCAGAATACTTTAATATTTAATGACCAGTGACATTTTTGCTTTACCTACCCATAAAATGTCATCCTGTGGTAGCCAATCCTCTTGACCAGTTTGTTAACTTGTCCCTTTTCTTTCGGAGTATCTTTCAGCACTGCGATTCCTACTCTCCGAAGATTCCTGAGCCACTGATATGCAGCTTCATCATCACTGAGCACCGCATCAAAAGTGGTTGTAGGAATCTGGAGGTCTGAGCCCCAGTACTGCTTCTCTGTATAAAAATAGATTGGAAATCCAGATCAGCCTGTGCTGCACTATAAACACAAGATGGTAGTTATTACAAGAATCATAAAATACCATCAGCAAACAAGTTAATGAATTCAAAAGGGGAAAACGTACAATATATGAACAATAATCCTTGCATATGATAAAAAAAATCATTATTTTATTTGATATTTTTATTATTTGATAAAAATAGATAAAAATATATATTTTTTAAAAACCCCATTAGGGGTTTGAAATACAATGTTTGTTGGTAGAGAGCTACTGGTGATCCAATGACTGTGGCTTAATAAAGTGTTAGAATATGAATTAAGATAAGTTCTGGATTTTAAACGTTCTGTTCGAAGAGCCACTTTCTTATAGGAACAGAGAGCTTATTTCAGGGTCCTGTCACTCAGCGTTCAGTGGTCTGACGTACGTGCTAGTGGCCTGTTACAGAATAGCATTAACAGGAGGATGGTTTCTTGCCCAGGCAACAATAGGAGTTTTTAATTATGGACTGCTCATGAAGGTCTAACAAATCATTCATTGTGTTCTTCGGAGGGAAATTCCATTTTACAACAAAGAAAGAAAGACTCTGCATTTAGTGAATGGTACATTATAGTGACAACTGTTTACAGGAAGGAGAGTTGAGAAAATCATGTTTATTAATACAATCCTTTATGGCGTTTTAATATTCATTATGTAGTGTAAGAATGTTGCAGCTGACACTACACCTCTGAAAGCCATGGTGAAAATGATCTAAATCCAGGCCAACTATTACATTTGTGAGACTACAGCCCCAGATATTTTTACCAGTGAACCAGAAAGAGAGTAGGAATTCTTGCATCTGTAATGTGATATGTATGCAAAACAACTGAATAGCTTATTTAAGCTTGTTTTTAGCTGCCACCTGGAAGAAATGCTTCCTGCACCTTCAGATCCACATCACAAGCGTATGTCAGAGTTACACCAGTGCTAGGAATGAAATGTATCTAGAACAATGTTGTCACACATTGCAATGGGATTTTTTGGCAGACATTACAATGTGATTTAGCAAATTACAACGCATTACAATACTGCATTATAATAGGATCAATAATCCTTTTATTTATTTCAAGTGTTATGATAGATTAAGAGATAAAATACATCCTGGTAGAGGTTGAGTCTGGCAAACTCTGGAATTGTAGCCACTTTTATTTTTTGTTTCATCTTACATTTCTCCTTTATTTAATTTCACATGACACATAAAAGCAACAGTTCCTACGGACAAAAAGAACCATAGATGAAACCAAGCAGAGAGCAGGTGCGACTCTTAAATGGCTCCAAAATGGTTGCAATTGTGTTTGCTGTGTGCCTCCAAAGTATTCTCTTGTGGGTGGCCCAGTTTGTTTTCATTTGAGACGTATTATTCTCATCACTGCTTCCTTTGACTTGCAAGTAATCAGGATGACGTCATGGAACTCACAAGGTCATTGAACGTCTTTGACTCTGAACAAGAGGAGCTTAGCTCTAGGGATCATATTTGACTGTCTTAGTGCCAATGCAGCAATGATCTGTTTGCCTCCAAGAGCCAAAGAAAATGTTGGTTGGAGCCCGAGTTGGCTCCTGAAACTCCAGTTTGTTCACCTCAGAATGTGTGTTGGAAATGCTGAATGCATTAGGTAAAAAGTGGTTTCTGTGTATTGCAGAAATGTGGTGTGACTGGCTGATAGAGTACATTAGAGCCATTTATAACCTAGTGCAATTGGACATCCAATACATATTATTGAAAACTCAACATGTGACAACTTTTTCTTTCATTTTGACATATGTCAAACCATGGCATGAGGGCGTTCTGAATCTTTGACAGCCTCAGATAAATGATGTCCTGTTATTTATGACTTACACAGAATATGAAAGTTGGCACATTCCCTTTATAAATGTCAATCGCTGAAACTTCAATAAACAAAATTTAGCAAGCTTTAGTGAGTTGGAATAGTGTGGAATGTATACAACTGATGCCTCTAAAGCTGGATTTTTATACAGTACTCTTGAAAAATTGTAAAATAAATAAACGGACGCTATGAAAAATGTTAGGGAGGCCTACAAGCGAGGGACTTAATTGAAAATATTTCACGAGCATTGCAGGGTAACCTGTTCCTCAAAGACACAGTACTAAAATCACTCCATCGGCATCAATTCTTGCCACTTTCTCGTTGGTTTCATTGAGGGGACTTCTGCTTTAGAAGTGGACTGACTTACTGTGTGTTCTTATAAGATGAAATGTTCAATGTTCAATACGTTGAGGGACACCTCTATTGCAATGATCGCCAACCTTTATGGTTGGCCGACAAATACATTTTTCTTTATTTCTTCATTCCTGGCCACTCCATGGGTATTGCAGCTCTGTCACTTCTGTAACTTAGGCGCAACTGGTGAGAGTGTTTGACAAGCTACTTCTTGACCTTCCCCAAAAAGTTGATTGCAATCAACTGGATGGAGACCCCCTACCCTATAGGTTTTGTGAATAAATGTCAATGAAAGCTGTGAAGGCAATATGCGTTTAAAAATAGTTTCAGGCATGAACACATCACATGAATAAAGCTATTTTAATATCACCATTGTAAAGTAGCAATACTCCTATGATATTACATGTGCGTAAATATAGTGCAGTCAGAGTCGATGCTACTATATTTGTAGATCAACTGATAGATAATTTACTTATTTGCAGATGGCATCTGATATCACCACTATAAAGCACTCCAAAATCCTTTTGATTACAATTGGAAAAAGGGTAATAGCTTAACAACACTGGTCCTTTTCACTGCAATTTCCATCTGCTGTCAAATTCAACTGTTGTGAATGTCAGCCTTGTGGTGAGGATGATCTGATCAATTTAGAATGTTGGTCAACAGCCAAACGGTGCATTAAATATGACAAAGGATTCATATGAATATTGTGGCTACGTACACTCAGTTATTTATGATGTATCTTTCACTACAGATACATTTAAAGGACCATAAACCAAATATTTTCTTATCATTGAATCCAAGCTTTCCAGTTATCCAGCTTTTGAACGACTGCGTGTCTGAATTCCCAGAACCACTCGAATCTGGAAAAAAATCTTTCCACTCAGCTCATATAGTTTCTTCACAAACAATGGTGTGCATGTCATAATTTTCTGCATGGCAGACACAAATAAAACATTTTTCATTATTACTGTTCCTAACATTTGGGGAATACACTTCTTCTAAAATTGGATTGGAAACTTAAAAGATTGGCACTTTTATTGTGCCTCAAAAATAATCTGAAAAATTAGATTACTAAAGCTCACAATTTCCCCTCTCTATGCATTGGTTAAAAAAATGCCAAGTGCAACATTCGTGGAAGATCTGTGCCTTCAAGTCATAAGAAGAATGTTCTCTGCACACAAATCTACAGTTACGTAAAAACTCTGTATTTGGAAATGAAGAGCAATACTTTTGAATAACTCCAAACAGGACAATTCTGGCGAATAGATTTTATCCTTTCCTGTGGATATACAAGCAGGAATGTGCTAGTGAACTGTACTCGCTGCGCCATGTGTGTTAACAATTCTACTGTGAATCAGTTGTAAATTTAAACAAATGTGAACTGGCAGTTGTAGTGTAAACTGGGATTAAGTAAAATCTGGAAACCATTAAAGCACTGCAATAATCGCAGAAATAACTGACTATATTCCCAGATGAAGTAACTGATCACCAAGACGCTTCCTATGCTGAATTGTGAACTCACAGGATTTGGAAAACACTTATTATACATCTTGGGGCAGTCATACTGCAGATTTTATGTCAGTTGACATAAAATGCAGAGCAATTATGCAAAACTGCAGTGTAGTTTGGTTTATAATAGCAACCTCAGCATAAAATCTCCCTCCAATTTGGATCATATCCACTAATAATTCTCAAATGGTGCAATTTGAGATACAAATTCAGTTCAGAATCATTCTGGAAAACTAATCTAGTCTCATTTTACAAAGCAAATTAGCAAGAAGGTCACACAATTTAAACGGAGACCAGCATTCCAAACTTTTAAGCCTTTGCAAGCAGGTCAAATATCTTTCACTAACATGAAATTAAGTGTAAAGTTCATTTAGAAGCATGGAAAAGAAAAGTGGTTGCTTTGCACTGGTAGGTTTTATCTCTTCCCAATTCTGAAAAAATATACAAAATGTCAGCCATGGCCTTCCTCTCTCTCTCTGCTTTGCGGCAAAATGATTTATGTGTGAGCGCTGTATAAAAGAGCTACGTTCATTGCTTCATAGTGGCATTGTACGAGATAAAACAAATCTTAAAAACAATTTACATTTGATCTTGTGCACACTGTGGTGGCAGCCATTTTGTTCCTTTTCGACTTTCCTTTTTTTAAAAATGTTTTACCATTTATTTTGCTTTTCAAAAAAAAATACATTTCTTTTCAATGCAGCCCTCTCTTTCAATAACTCAAAATAGCTTAGCAGAAAAGAGACTGCTGCCAGCCTCTCCTTCAATTATTTTTAACTACATTATGTTATTTCTGCTAATAAGAGAAAAATTGGGTTGTGGGTTGTTTACTCAGCAAGCCAAAAGCCTCACTCATAGGGTGGTCCCAGCTCTTAGTTTGGTACACTTTCTCTTTCTTCCCCTACCCTCCCCCATCCAGACTGCTACCAGTCATTATGGTAGGAGTCAGCACCAAGGGAAGGGGAAAGGTGAGCTCAGTGAAGAACATTCTTCTTATGACATGAAAGCACAAATCTTCCGCAAATGTTGCACTTGGCATTTTTTTTTTACCAATGCACAGAGGGGGGAAATCTAGACCATCTGGTCTACATGGGATGTCTGTAATCCCAATAATTAACTGATTTACTTCAGTTCAATTTGCTTCTGTTTTGGCCAGCTTGGTGTCTCGACACACGTGGAAAGCCATAATCATACTTTAGGATCTGCAAATCAAACTCGTGAAAAGTCTACAGAGGTATCGTTTCCATTCTGGCTAGTATGGATTGTG